CGACGAACGGGACGCCTAGGCCTCAGAACTGCCTCACCTACTAGCGTACGGGACTGCTGGGCCGTGCAGAAAAAACCTTACCCGACGAACGGGACTACTAGGCAAATCCAGATTCGTAACTACGATTGCAAGCCGATGTAATCCTGAATGTGCAGTCACACACCTGACAGGTCCGGCCTGGATACCTGGATGCCGTACAGTCGCAATCCGGCATAAAGGTGCTAAGACCCTTTTGCCCAGCTTGTGGCTCGCCATCGTCTTGGAAGAGATGCAGTTTGAAGAACAGCTCAGTAAAACAGACAAGCAAATAAAGGTGCATGACGCATTTCAGCGCGCCTGCGTTCCACAGCTTCCGAAGACCAACACTATGACCAGGTTGCACTTTATTTTGAAACTCACTCTCGTACAAAGCCTGGCAAGGTCTGCAGATGTAGGCGCGGCGATCACATTGACTAGCCTATTGAGCCAATTAACTCAACAGGCCCGCTGTCAAACAGAATCGAAACGACAACCACGCAAGCATATTCCCAGTTCCAAGTGACAGCAGTCTCTCTGCGGAAGCAAACGACTAGCGTTCCACAGCTTCCGAAGACCAACACTATGACCAGGTTGCACTTTATTTTGAAACTCACTCTCGTACAAAGCCTGGCAAGGTCTGCAGATGTAGGTGCGGCGATCACATTGACTAGCCTATTGAGCCAATTAACTCAACAGGCCCGCTGTCAAACAGAATCGAAACGACAACCACGCAAGCATATTCCCAGTTCCAAGTGACAGCAGTCTCTCTGCGGAAGCAAACGACTATAATAGACTATACCCAATAGACGAACCCACCCCTAGTTCCGCTTTGAGAAAGACCAGTGAAACCGGACCCTAGCCACAGTAAAGGAGATCGCCTCCCCCCAGAACAAACCTCCCACGCACAAGTGCTTGCAGCGTAGAAAGCGAAGTTGTGTCTGTGTTGAGTTGTTGTTAGTTGGACTTCGAAGTTCGCTGCTTGACCCACAGACCTAGCAAGGTGGGATCACTGTAGACACTGGCTTTCCCTGGCTGCAAGAAGGGAAAAAAGTAAACAAACATCCCTTGCGTTGATCTTGGCAAATATCTGCGACCATCCCATGCTGGTAATACGAAACAAGCACATTTCCGTGGAGGCTGCGAGCAATACCGAACCAAATACAAGCATTGGCCAGTGCCATCCGATTTCAGCTTCCGAAGACCAGAGGCAAGGCGTGGAGGCATTACAGGGATCTACCGCTTGTGCAACAGGGACTCATGAGCCTTTTCGAGTCACTTGGCATGGTGGGGCTGCATCGGCGAAGAGCATCTGTAGACATGCTCAAAACGTGTCCTTGTAAAACCGGAATATTCAAGAAGTCTAAGATCTGCTCTGCGAACCGTAACATTCATGAACATGGAGTGAAACATGATAGGCCCTGTGTCATCCGCTTTTTTTCGCCCAAACTGCAAGCAGTTCGAACTCCCCTGCCGTGCGGCAAGACGGGAACCCTAGGAGCAGAGCAAGTTTGCTCAGCAAGTGAATATCTCCCCCCGGAATGGGGACCGGGCCAGCTCGTGCATAACGCCTGCAAATTGGCTTGCCTGTATCAGTGCGAGAAATGACTGAGACTCTGTGAGCCTCAACACAGATTTGAGAGCACTCCCATGCCCAACCTGATGTAAGAGAATGGAAAGTGGTTGGAGGACCAGGGTCTGTTGGGATCTCTAATGGTTGGGCCCTTCACAGGCTGTCCTGTGGTGATTCGACGGCTACAATTCGCGGCCGCTTGAGCTGGCAGTAGCAGTAGCAGCAGCAGCAGCAGCAGCTGCAGCAGTCATCGTAGCACTTGTACTTGTATGAGTACTTTTAGTTTACGAGTACTCGCACTGGCACTTGTAGCTGTAGTGGCACTGGCACTAGAACCCGTACTTGTAGTTGTAGTTGTCGTTGCTGTTGATGTTCGTCGAGGCCTCTGACAATTTGAAACAGCGCAGCGACCTCTTTGAGTGCGACTTTCCCCAGAGCATGTTGGTCTTGACTCGGTCCCTCACCTTTTTCCTTTTTGGTGACTCCGTGCATTGCAGGCGGCCAGTGAGTGGGACCCTCGTCTGGAGCCCTAGCAGCTCCAGCCATGGGTCAGACAATCTGAAGTCCACACTTCCTTGCTGTCCTAAGTTTTTAAAAGGCGCTGAACTCCTTTGCCCTTGCTGGCTCGCCGATGCTGCGCTGCGAAAGTCTTGCGAACAAGCGTTGCGCTTTGCGCAAAAAACACCCGAACAAAACACAAGTCCTTTAGGGTGTTGCTGCGGGAAGCTTCTGTACGTCTCGCATGCCTCAGGAGCATAAAGCGAGGGCCGCGCGCAAAGGGCCCCTACCCAAAAGCAGTGAAACAGTCACCTGCCAAGAAACAGGTGCAAAACTTCGCACGGTGTACATGGAGGCCTTGTCGACAACAATTGCACGAAGTGCACATGAGCTGGAGCAAGCAGTCGCAGAGCCTCACACGAAGACCTGGACCTGCTCGGAGCACTTACACTGACCACCGTAGTAGCCCATTGTCTTGAAGGTGCAGTGGAAGGTCTTGTTCAGGATCAGGCCTGGTGACTGGTAGGGTTGCCAACAGATGCTTGTTTAGCATGACCTAAGCAACCCAGTGCGGCTTGCGTGTGTGGCCGGCACCAGGAACACTCTGCCGGCTGGCAACAGCAGTTCCCAAAGCAAAGAGACCCCAGGAGAAGTCGACACCGCGAATGCAGGCCCGGAGGCGGCCCCCCGGCCTGCCACGGCATTGTAGGAGAAGCACCTGGGAGCCGTCCCCGTTGAGTTCGTCAAGCTGAACGGACGAAGTAAGATTGCAAGATCAAGAGCCGTCCAAGGCACAGCGTGTCAGGGGTCTGAACCTGCAACCATTTCCAAGGACATACAAGCATAGCATTACTCGCAATGCTGGCCTGCTTGTCGGTCTCAATGTTGGTGGCCAGGGCTATGGAGATATTGAGCTCAGGGAAGAAGCCCACGATGCTTTGATATCCTCGGTAACTTGGAACACGTCATCAGCGTGGTGGACTACAAGAACTCGGACCTAATTGTGCTGCTGCTTCCGGCTTCACCTCCACTTCACTGACTGACTAACTCTGCTCAGCGTCCGTAAGTGGCACCCAAATGGCCATAGCCAACTCCTGGTTTCGTCCGACCGGGAGCTCTGTGTCTGGGTGCCCTTGACTACACCCCTTCGGAATAGGCGCACACCCTTTGGCTCCAACGTTGGCTTGAGGATGGGATCTGGAGGTTTGCATTTACGACCTGACCTTTGATCAACTTCTTTGATGTGGCCCAAGATCTGGAAAAGCTGCTCCAACATCGCACGCCTATTCCGACAGCCAGAAAGCTGTGGAAGTCGGCAGAGCATGACAAGGCAAAGGGCGTACAGACAAACGAGGCATAAACATGCTAGAGTGTTACAGCAAATGAACACCGCTTGGCCTTGCAAGTGTGCACTACCAGTAGAAAGGGTGTCGCTGACTGTGCCAAGGGCACAGGGTGCGGAAGCTTTAAAGCTCAAGTTGCGATTGCCCCGTTCTGAAGTACAGAGCGGGGAATCAGCCGGTGCTGCTGAAGCACTCGCAAGCATCGACACAACTCGGTGACCAACACGCCCAAAGCACAAACTGCTGCATGACAGGCTCGGCAGGCCTAGCTTGCCGGACTGCCCGGCTGAAAAGAGCCCAACCTGAAATGTCAGGGTAGGACATGACACGGATACCGGCAGCTGCAGCGATGCCGAGTCTAAGGGGTCCGAGACAACAAGACGCTCCACAGCTGTCCAGAAACGTTGAAGGCGCCGAGTCCATAGATGTGCGTGCGTTGAGGGATCATTTGATCGGTCAGCTCCTGGCTGATCATGTGGCCCAAAGAGCAGTGAGAAAGGTACATCTCGCAGCCTTGAAAAACAAACGCAGTGAATCCGCCATAGAGCAGCGATTCATTCATCCCTGCCCCTCCTTGGGAGCCACGCTGCTCGGAGGCCCCCAAATCTCCCATGCCAGGTCCTCCCAGGATTAGATACGGTCAGCGATGACGACTCCTTTTCTTTTGGATACTTGGCCCGCTGCAACCGCAAGCCGATCTAAAATCTAAAACTTCCGCTTCTGGTCTTCCGCAAACGCTTGAGGCAAACCCGGGGTCCGCAATCTGCGCCGAGGTTGCTACCACGTTGCTGGCCGTCCAGCCCGCAAAAACGCCATCGACTTGCCAGTTGTTGTGGTTGCTCAGATTCCCTCGGCAGTTGGATCTGATCCGAAACGCTTAGACCTGGACGGAAGTCGAAGATGCCCCTTTCTGCCCTAAGCTTCTGGCTCCTAACCGAAGATCGAATAAGCAAGCTCCAGCCCGACCCGGTATGGACCATACTTTAGTCAAATCCGAACGACGAACCTATAACTTGTTTTCGCGTGAGAACTTAAGCGCAAAGCATTTGGCAAGATGCCTGGCTGCCGGTTGTACGAAGTTCGATCGTAGCCTGGCACTGCACCGATGTCCTCGCAACTCATGCTACAGGTTCTTCCTTCGACTTCTGGTTTACAAACATCGGGCACATGCCATAACCCGTTACGCTGCCAGCATTGCCAATTGCCGTGTCCTCGCACGTTTTGGGTGGCCATGTCACTCCGGTCCGAAATCTCAAACAAAAAAAGCTTCTCCAATGCTTGAAACCACCATCGCCCGACAAGCCCTGCAAGTGCCTTGGCAGTGCCCTTATTTGCAAAGCGGATCTGCCCTTGGAGGTACTCAGGCAAGAACTTGGTCTGGTTGAGGTCTGCCCAGTGCTCGACCTCGTTGTCTACTCTGGCAGCGGACCCCAAGAAAGAAAAACAAACGGAGGTTGGCCATACTTCCCAGGTTGGACATCAAGACCTGCCGACGGCAGCAGTAATCGCAGCAGCTGCAGCCGCAGCAGCGGCAGCAGCAACAGCAGTAGTAGCAGGAGCAGTCGTTGCAGTAGGAGAAGTAATATTCATAACAGTAACAGTACTAGTAGTAGTAGTAGTAGTAGTAGTAGTCGTAGTAGTAGTAGTCGTCGTCGTCGTCGTAGTCGTAGTCGTAGTAGTAGTAGTAGTAGTAGTTGTTGTTGTAGTTGTAGTTGTAGTTGTAATAGTAGTAGTAGTAGTAGTAGTAGCAGTAACAGTAGCAGTAGCAGTAGCAGTAGCAGTAGCAGTAGCAGTAGTAGTAGTAGTAGTAGCAGTAGTAGTAGCAGTAGTAGTAGCAGTAGTAGTAGTCGTCGTAGCAGTAGTTTTTGTCGTAGTAGCAGTAGTAGTAGTAGTAGTAGTAGTAGTAGTAGCAGTAGTGGTAGCAGTGGTGGTGGTGGTGGTGGTAGTAGTAGTAGTAGCAGTAGTAGTAGAAGCGCATTTAGTAGCAGAAGTAGCAGTAGTAGTAGTGGTAGTGGTAGTGGTAGTGGTAGTGGTAGTGGTAGTGGTAGTGGTATCATCATCACACTCGCTGCGGACGGTAAAGTCGCAATGCGCTGATTGGAGCAGGAATCACCTGGCGCACAGTGGCGCACGATCACACTTGGATCGTCTCGGAACTAACTACGTTGTGCCCCGAAGGGCCTATGTGGAAGTGGCAGCACTCCTCAGTCTGTATACGAGTATGTAGCTGGAGGTGGAAAGGGCTTCCAGGCGAATGGATTGTGCAGCTCTGTTGTCATCTGTGTAATGCCAGAGGGGTGTAACATCAGAGCGAGGCTTGAGTGCAGCACGGTAGTGCCCCGTGACCGTAGTAGGTCCGAAGTGCTGGACAATCGCTTGAAGCTGATAAGTTCTCCATATGACTTCAGTGGAGGTGGGGATCCATTGAGGAAAGAGGACTTCCTGATCTGCTTCGATGCGATGGTCACATTTGGTAGCAATGCCCCGCTCATTGCAGAATCTGTTCAGCTGTACAGCCACAGCTTCAGTACCTGAGATCAAGGCGTGGCGACGTTTCTGCGAGTACCAACGATTGATGCAGGACTGGGCTGAGGTAGCAACGGCAGTAGAGGCATCTTGAATACCAGAAAGGATGAGTGGACAAACCCCGCCTTCATCCTGGAGCACTCTGCGGTCATCATAAGATTGCCAGAGGCCTTGGAAGCAGGGTGCATTTAACACCTGGTGAAGGTGTAGTAGGAAGTCCGCGGCATCGTGCTGTCTGGCAGGATTAGTCCAGCGCCGGAGTGCCTGTCGCCATGGTAGAAGGGACCACAGCGTCAGTTGTTGCTGCTTGCGCGCCTGCGCAATGAAGCTCCTTATCGGTTCCCGGTCCAGTACCTGAAGGGATGAGGTTGACAGGGACACAATCCAAAGATAGGTCAGGAGGCAAGCGTGGGAGTAGCAGTAGTTGGATGGGTTGTGAAGCCGCAATGTCGGAAGTAATGCTGAGGTCTCGGCTGCTGACGTGGCATGGGAATGTTCATGGATTGCAAGAGGGTCTGGAGCTGCTGCGCCAGGGCTGATCGTTGGAGGCGATCTGGGCGAAGGGTGCAGCCCACCATGAGGAGAGAGGAGTTGTGCGAGAGGAGCTGAAGTAGCTCCCAAAATCGGGCTGTCTGCTCTCCTCGCCATCCCACTTCCAGAAGCCAGGTGACTGTGCTTCCTTCCATCTTCTCCTCCAGTTGCCTCGTGGCGTGAAAGCGATTGAGCAGCTGTGGCTGCACACTCAATGTCGCCAGCTCCTGAGCCACTTCCACCACCTTCTGGGCCATTAGCGGCTCTCGGTCCGGGATGGCTTGCATGGCACCTTCCTTGTTGTTCCACTTGCGGTAGCCAAATCCCGTATTCGGGTTGTACAGCTCCATCTGAACAGCCTGTTCCCGTGCGTCCGCCTGGTCTATCACCTTCTGCGCACGCTGCGCCAACTCCATCATCAGCTTCTGCCATAGGATGATGCGCATCGGCTGCGTGATGCCGTCCGGGTTGTTCCATCGCAGGTCGTGCCAACCTTGGGCTGTGGCGAACAGCTTGGGGAGGATGGTGCTTTCCGTCTGGGTCGTGAGGAAGAGAATCCAGGTGGTGGATTGCTGCAGCACCGAGAGGGCGTCCTCGTGTCTCATGAGGAGCCTGGCCATGGTGTGACACATGAGGTGGAGATCTGGGCCGGAAGTAGGCCCGTATCCCTGTAGTGGTAGTGGTAGTGGTAGTGGTAGTGGTAGTGGTAGTGGTAGTGGTAGTGGTAGTGGTAGTGGTAGTGGTAGTGGTAGTGGTAGTGGTAGTGGCAGCGGCAGCGGCAGCGGTAGCGGTAGCGGCAGTGGTAGTGGTAGTGGTAGTGGTAGTGGTAGTGGTAGTGGTAGTGGTAGTGGTAGTAGCAGGACAGCACGCACTGAAGGAAACCGCAGGTGAAAGGAAAGAAGGACGTTTACACTTATCAAGCTCCTAGCAACTTGACGAATGCGTTGCCAAGCATCACCAGCATGCTGGGCTAGCGCTAAGCCCAACAGCATGAAGTTGGTGCTGCTGTAGCCTCGCATCATCCAGGTTGTGATGCATAACCCCATTAAGGTACCCACCCCTGGTCGCAAGCACTGAAGTTAAAGGCTTTCCCTCGCAGTTGCAACCATCCCTCAAAGCTTCAGACATTCCTTCGCGGAGTGCCATGTGTGTCTGAACCGGGGATGGGAGTAAATCTGCAGCGTGGTTAACTCTTGCTGCTTGCTGCTTGCTGCCCATTGCTTGCTGCTCGACCTACCTACCTGCCCACTACCTACTGCCACTGCCCACTCTGTGCTACCTACTACCTACATTCACAGATGCAGGGACATCAGCAGATTCGGCTAGTCCCAGTACATGAACGGTCAGACTACTCACTCAAGCACGGGTCGGGAAGTCCACTTCGCTGAAGGTGCACACGGCGCACCACTTCCAGTCAGGCTCTCTCGTCCGATACAGCACATCCGCACTCTCAGAATGTGCTACTGCTACAGTCACGGCCGCTGTAGTGCTGCTGCTGCTGCTGATGCTACTGCTACTGCTACTGCCAGTGCCACTGCTTCTGCTTCTGCTACTGCTACTGCTACTGCTACTGCTACTGCTGCTGCTGCTGGTACTGCTACTGCTTCTGCTGTCGTTTCTGCTCCTTCTCCTGCTCCTGCTACTGCTCCTGCTCCTGCTCCTGCTACTGCTCCTGCTCCCGCGCCTGCTCCTGCTCCTGCTCCTGCTCCTGCTCCTGCTCCTGCTCCTGCTCCTGCTGCTTCTCCAGTTCCTGCTGCTGCTAGCGGTACTGCTACTGCTATTACTAAGACTAATACTACTACCACCACTTGTACGACTGCCACATTATGTATTTACTCCTACTACCACTCCCACTACTACTACTACTACTACTACTACTACTACTACTACTACCACTGCAAGTGCTACTGCTACCGCTAGTGCTAGTGCTGCTGCTACTCCCTACTCCCTTCTCCTACTCCTAGTCACTCCTAGTCCTAACCCTACTCCTACTGCTACTCCTATTCCTACTATTACTACTACTACTACGACTACTACTACTACTACTACTACGACTACTACTACGACTACTACTACGACTACTACTACTACTACTACTACTGCTACTACTCCAACTTTGACTCAGACATACCAAGACATCGACCACCAGTATTGCGACGACTGGCACAACTACCACACTGCCACCAGCTGCCGCCACCACCACCTCGACCACTGCCACTACGAACACGACCACCACTACCACTACGATTACCAAAACAAAGTGGGTGGAGGATCAAAAACAAGGCCTAAAATGGATCAAAAACAAGGAAAGATCGAAAACAAACTTAGGGTTTGGGGAGCTGCTGCAAACAATAGCACGGTTCCTGGGAATAGCGGATCAAAAAAATTGAGGAAGGACGGATTAAAAACGAACCAAAACATTTCTGCAAGTGCGATTTCAATAGTCCCGGGTCGGAACCTTGCGAAACCATGGTGTCAAAGCCAGAAAAGCGTGGTACAGCGTAGAGGGTTCCAACGGTGGGTGTAACTAGAGTTGCTGGCCATGGCTGCGTGCTCTGAACAGCCTTAGCTGCCAGGATGAGATTTGAAGTTTAGAGTCGGAATTTTGCGAATGTATGGTATGTCCACTTGTTATCCTGGCCGAAGTTCGAGCAGTCTGGTGTAAGACAGCAACATCTGGCAGCAAGGTGCACAGCGATTCACCGGTTCAGCTTACAGGGCTCAAGGTGTATACGGTGTTGGGTTGCCGATGTTGCTCAACGCAGAGAGCCTGCGAGTGGGTCTCGGCCAACTAAGCCGCTGAAAGCTTTCAAGTGTGGCCGAGCCTTCGATCCTGAAAACTCCTTAGTGTCAAACCCGAAACCTGAACCGGAAACCTTAGAGCCCGAAACCCTCTGATGCCCGGCCCCAGCCTCACGGGGGCCACCCAGCAGCGAAACCAACGTGGCGGTGGGTTGAGGGTGGAGGATCAAAACAATTTAACATGGATCATACAAATCACTGTACGACTACGACTACGACGACGATCCAAAATGTTCGGGATGTCCTCCAAACAAGCCCAGGCACAGAATTTGCCGATAATGATGTGGGAGCTGCACTCCTTTTCCATGGCAGTGGATGCAAGAAAGTGCGATCCGGCTACCCAACACTCTCCATACGTATGTTTTAACCCAGTGCGACTTGGCAACCTGCAATGCGCTGCTGACATTTCCAAGATTGCGAGTCGTCACGCTAGAGTAAGCCCCAAAACAACAAGAGCGCACGTAAGCATTCCCGATCTCTACGTGCAAGGATTCATGTCATTCCATGAATTCCATGTGCTTCAAAGACCACCCGATGACTGCCAAATGCACCATGCTGCGGTTGGATTGCCACTCAAGAACAGGCACGGCACTGTGGGGAGCCACACGTCCCGCCCAAACATGTGGGGAACTGTGGAGGGAATGTTTCGGCGCAATGGGACGCAACATGTGCGCCGTGTTGCGGCGGGAGCACCATTCCTCGACAAGACCATGTGCACCAGAATAATTACGCACGGCATCGTGACACACTTCCGTGTTTCACACGAACGAGCCCCGATGTGGCCCCGAAACTTCGAGTGACCTCAATGAAAAGGAGCACCGGAAGATCGTGGAATTTCCACCAAAGAACACGCACTTGCCCACGCATACCTGCCTACGCTGATCTCATGCAATTCAGAATTGCGGAGTTTTGGGGGCTCTGGCCTTCGTGTGCCCAGCCACCCATGGCACGCTCCTTACAGGCAGGTGTCGAGACCATGTGTTTCAGCCGGTGTCAGGAGGCTGGACTTTGGCAGGTTTGATGGCGAGTCTTGTAGAACGACCGGGACAAAAGGAGCTCGGGACTTCTAGGCCTGGAAAGTACGGCTGGTGAATCGTGACCAGTTGATGCCTGGAAGCTTTTCAGTGCTGTTCCTCTGAACCCCAAGCTCTTCGGGCCCTGTAACTCAACCGAAAGCGTTCCCACCCAAGCGACATCAGCTCCGCAGGCTCGTAGAAGTGGTCTGGCTGACGATAAAGCTCAGCCCGCAGAGGATCCTCACATCGCAGTGCAGGGGATGGTGAGGGCCTGTCTGGCTTCGAGGCTTTTGGAGGGGTTCGGATCGGGATGCCAAAAACGATCTTTGGAAGAAACGTCTGCTCGCACGGGCTCTTCGCCCTGAGCATGTCTTGACACCAAGACTTGCCAATTGCGCAGCAATCTCGACAGATCTATCTGCCCTTCTCCTAGGACTGCTTAAAACAGGACTGGGCAAGTTGCTGCTGGTGGCTATGACCTAACCGCATCAAGTGGTTCGTTTGCCATGGCCCGATGTGTCGAAGCACGAAATTGAGAAGCAGCAACGATGGAGTTCAAAAAGCAGGAACTTGCGGATGGCTCTGCGGCTCTCGCAGGCCCAACTTCTCCCACGGCCATGTAGGCACATCTGATGCAAAAACAAGAAAGTGTTTTATGGGCTGAATCCCAGAACATCACGTCGCTTCAGCATGAGGCAACTGGGTGAAGCCAAGGTGCAGAAACTGACTCGACTCTTGAAAAAGTTTCAAATCTAAAACGCATCCAACATGCATCCACCAACACAAGTGGGAGCTATGCCACGGCTAGAAAAGGCAACCAGAACGGAGGCCAGTACGGAACACATTTTTGAAGAACGCCTAGCACTTCGAACGGCAGTATTTGGGGTGGGCCTGGCATCCAGAAATACACGTGATTCACTAGCGACAGAAGCGGCCAAGAGCAGGCATGACCGATTGCTGAAAGCCATCACCGCGGTCATATCGTGTGCGGCAACATGGGCAGGATGCACAGCAACTGCAGGGGCGAAGGACCATTGGACAATACTTTCCTGGTGGCAGACATGGCGGCATGGAAGGATTGCGACCTGGCTCGACGGCAGGAAATCCTCCAAGCAGCAGAGACACGTCTTCTGGGGAAATGCCTGGGCTGGTGGGATCGAGAGCGGACGGGACCGAGTCCATTCTGCTTGCCCTGGCCTCATGTAATTATAATGCATCTTGTTGCTTGTTCTGACCTGCTCGTATGTACACGATGCCCAGATAAACTTCCCTTCTTGATTTGGCTTGGCTGGCCTCACCTCACGGTTTGAACCGTCTTAGTACACACAGGCCAGCGCTGCCAACATCAGCAGCGAGGACAGTAGGAGTACCAGCAACGTAGACCACGTCCGAGCTTGAAAGACCGCACACCCAGCATAAGAACAAAGAAAGCCGTCAACATCGAAACGAAGCTCGCAAGCATCAGGACAGCAAGCGCAGATCGAAGTGGGCTTCCCCAGTCCAGCCGCATGTTTGAAGGACGGAGACACCCCAAAAGCTGTTGCAGGCGTAATTCTGCATGTCCGTGCTGCTGGAGGTGCAAGATGGTGCAAGCCTACGTGTCCAGAAAACCGCTGTTGCTGCGTGACATACATCACAGTCGCAGTTCTCTGAGACAGACATGTTGAACCCCACCTGCGGCGCGAGCGACACTAGAAATCGTCTCTACTGACCGAAAACCTCGCCCATTGCTTGTGTCCGCTAAAGCTCCTTGGAGATGCCGGTCTTGGCTGGCTGCGCCGTATCGAAATCCGGTATGGAAGACCTCGGCGAAGCAACCAAGGGCCTTTGAACTCCTTTGCTGTTGCGACCAAGCTGCATCATGCCCAACAGCTCTCGAAGCGTAGTTTTCGCAGCATTCACGCCCCAGAGTTCCTCAACGCTAGTGAAGTTTTGCTTCGGGTCCTGTCAGCAAGTCTCCCTCTTTATCGTAGTGGAAGAAAGCTCCCGTGGCGAGCTGGTGCAGTCCTTGGCTGCCATCTTTGCAATCACGGAGTCCACCAACGGGGCGATCTCATCGTCCAGTCCTTAGCATAAGCAGATGCTGCATCCCTAACAGCAGAAGCACTTGCATGAACCCTGTTCGGTCCTGTTAGAAGGCAGGATACATGTGTGGAGATTTGCTGGAAAAACACTTGTCTTGGATTTGCCAGGTTTGTGCCGAGTACGGGGCAGAGCGTAAGGCAGGCTTTATGCAACGCCTCGAACCCATATACATAGTTAAACCTGCAACCACAATTTTGCTTTTTGTTTGGGTTCAAGGAAGCTCGTTTGGAGCTCGGGTAGGATCGGAGAGACCTGAGATTTGCCCAAACGAGGTGCAGGTACGCAGTCGAACTCGTGGAAAATTTCATCTGGGGCGAGTTCAAGCTTCGGGAAGCAGGGTTTTGGCCGTGAAAAGCTGATTTCGTTGAGCAGGATCGAATGTCGCGTTATGCCGAAACTAGGTAGAAGATCACATGCCAGTGCCTCAGTCAGGCATGTCTTGCTCCCGGCACAGTGCTGTGCGTGTTTAGGGTGCACATCGCAAATTTGCGGTCTGAGCTTTAAATCTGTGGTTGGAAATCAGTTCGATTCAGCTGGAGGCATTTCCGGGCGGACTGAAATGCGACACGATGCCCTACTCCTGCGCCCAACCATGTTTACAGTTTACAGCATCAAGCCGAGTTTCGGAAGTAGCCTCCTGCGACCAGTTTCATGACTGACGCAGCGGTGAACATCTTTGTCACACCTTTTCGAGACATGAAGGTCTGAGAAAGACGACACAATCCACTGAGGTTTTGTGTTCACTGCACCAGAGTTGGGACATTCAATCCTGAACAACAAGAAGCCATGACTTTCGTATGGCATCAGCTGGAAAATTGCAACGACCATTTGTCCCGATATGCCAAGACGCTGCCCCAAGGGTACCTGCGCACAAACGGCAATTGGAGCGGGCACATTTCGTAAGCATCTGTCTCATGCAGGCTCAACTGCTCTGGCGATACCGACTCGCAGCCGAGCTTAGCTCTGATCCGATTGCCTGTTTTGCTGCAAGTTGGCCCTACTCGAGCGCACACTGCCCCGTTTGGCGGTCTTTACTTCTTAAAGTAAAGACCGCAAGTATCAACGACAAGCCCTTTATGAACAGTTTCCAGCCAGTGTGACAAACCTGATGCGTGGGTGTGAGTGAATAAAACTTCTACACATGTCAGGGGCACTTCCTAGTGGTGCCTAGGCCTAGACAAATCCTCAGGTTGTACCGCAGGGTACAAGCGAAACAAACATGAGACCGAAGACATCCCCAATTTGTGTGCTCAGCTGTGCAACGGCGTCTAGTTGCGATTGTTGGTGTGACTATGCCGACCTGGCTTACCTTCGTCAGGTGGTCGAACTATTGTCAACCTGATGAACCCCTATATCCGGAGGTCGTCTCGAACCAAACGAAAACCAATCACCACTTCAGAGCCAGATCTCCTGACATCGTGGCAATCATTACGGTCAAGTCTGCCAGAGCTTGTGGGCACAGCGTGCTGTGCGAACCCATCTAATTCCAGCTTTTGTCAAAGATGCAAGTCTGTCGCCGCTGCCTTCTGGCTTGCCTCACGTACACCAAGGGATTCGAAGGCAAACTCGTTGGTGTTGGGGTTTCGCTTGGGGTCGGACTGCTGGACACCTGAACGGTGTTTCGCACAGGTGTTTTGCACTGAGCCGCCTCGGATTGAATGCTGCACCTGAAGTTTGAAGTTGCACGGTTGAGCATACGTGCAGGTTCTGAGATCCTGCACATCCTACTTCGGAAACTCGTGAATTCTTCACTTGCAAGGTTGCTGGCGATTGAGTGTAGCGTGACTGAAGCCCCCAAGTGCAAACCAACAGATGCAACCGTCACCCCTTCTCCCAAACCCCCAACAAAGCCTGTAACCTGCAAACCTCGAGCTGACAATCAATGGCGTTGGCAAAAACGACAACCCGCTGCTCACCTCGAAGTTGACAGTGCCGTCGGCTGCCTGCGCGGACCCGACTGGCGTCCGAACCTCAGCTGGAGTTTCGGCAAGTTTGGGCTGGCACCGAACGCCATATCATTATGAGCATGTAAAAAACAAGCAGCGTGAAAGGACAGACAGTCTTATCGTCGAAAGCTTGGCTTCGAGATACGACATCATCCACCCTGTAAAGTCGCAAATATCCCAGGTTAGTTCCGCATGGGACCATGGGCATAATGCCAACACTCCACATCAACGAACAACACCGTCGTGATGATGCTGGTATGTGCTGGTTCTACTTAGCCTCTACAGACCTGTAACAAATGGTTCCGCAGTTCCTGTGCTAAGGCTGTGGTATCCACATGGCAGGAAACCCTGACGCAGAAGAACGTCCTATCCTATCGGACCTGATAGGCAAGGCAAGGTTCGGCAATGCTCACCGAGCAGTTGTACTCAGCACTTTTCGATCTGGCCACCTGGAATTCTGACATCAGGCCCGCGGTACCCTCTCTCGTGAACGAATCAAAGTGCTGCTATGGGTGGACATATCTGAGCAACCGCGAGCTAGCTGAAGCAAAGCAATGAGCACCGAAATTGAACCAAACGAAGTCTGCTGACCCCAGTTTACCCCGGCCTCGGCCAAGGCAGATTGCAACGCCTCTGGAGAAACTGCTGTGCACACTGCTGCCAGCCTCAGCACGCGGATTTGCGATGCCAGCAATGCTTCAGCCTCAACCGGATCCCAGGTCCTGCGTTTGTCTTGAGCAACCTCGTATCGTGCACCTCCGTCACGCTCTGCACCCTTGTTGACGCTTACGATCCTTAACGTCAGCATTTCATGGGAAACTCGGGCATGTTCTCGCCAAGTGGCAACAAAACGGCCGACCCTCTCCATGTCATTGCCATCAAACTCACTCCGCCCGAACACGCCGGGTTGAACACGTAAATGAGAGCCAACACTCTGCACGGAAACATGATGGGTTGTTTTTTTGCCATGCCATGAAAACCAAACAGCATCCAAACCATGCCCATGGCCCACGCCTCACCAGCACCAGTCGTAGGTCTTATAGCAACCCTGGAATATGATACCAGCGGACCTGTTGAAGAACTCATCCGAGAAGCAGCCCAGGATTCTAGCTAACATATGATTCTGGCATGAAGTATTGGCGACGCACCGTCTACCCGGTTTCCCCCCATGCTTCCAATTGGATGCCGGATGATGCTGGCCTGTCCAATTTGCGGGATGGCGTCCTTATGATGACTTGCGAGCAAAGACTGCTACCACCACAGGTTGTGCTTCACTTTCTCAACGTGCTTTCAATGCGGCTTGCTTGACATTGTGCATCTCGAAAGAAGCAGCAACCCACCTCTTGAGGCCCGAACTGGCCGAAACATGCCCAAACCATCGCATCCAACTGCGCATGGTCGGATGAAAGAAAACTAGCTGTGGTCTTGCAGAGCCCATGCATCCATGCAGACACCGAGCTGGATTAAATATGGAACTGGCATATTCTCCTAATGCCACAACCAAAATCACTGCTCGCAACTGCGTTGGCGCGCAAATCCAGGGCCAGCAGCAAGGCAGCAAGGCATGTCAGGGCATGCGGCTGGCAAGAGGAGGTTTTTTCCCTCCTACCTAGCAAGGACGAAGCCCGCATTGCAGGGTTGGTTAGGTCGAACGGTTGTACAACAGCTGCAGATGCGTTTTTTTTTTTAACGCACCTTTTTGCGACTGCGCAAGAGGAGTCCAGGTCCGACTACAGGGCATTGGACGGGGGGTTTTGCCTGCAGCTAATTTCTCATGAGTGACCAGATCAGATGCATTATCCGGTCCCATCACCAGCATGGTTACCGTCAGAATTCATGCCGTATAGCAGTTCCTCCAACAGTGTGCATCTCGGAGGTGGGGCCGATGGTTCGGCGAGAAGGTCGCTGAGAAGGGGGGGATCTCCGTCGACATTGGCTGCGCCGGAAAGCGTTAGGGAGAGAAGGCTGCTTGCGAAGGCACGGGCAGCAGCACATGCGAGCGGGGCGGACCACCGCAGCACGTAGGCAGAGATGCAGGCACTTTGCAGGGGTGGGGGAGCGGACCGGGCTCGGCAACGGGCAAGGAGCCGGCTCCACCTGCCGCCGGTTTTTTGTTTCAACTAGGCGGCAGCGTCCGGAGTTGCAGAGTTCCGGGTAGGTGCGCTCCTTCGCCCGGCGAGCGTGGCGCAAGGCAGCCCCGGCAGTGCGCCTGGCCTCACGCCGGAACTCGCCGTTTGCTGTCAAGGGAGACACGAGGGTCGGGTCGACCGCAACCTGTACACCCCCGTCAGCGAGAATTCGATGCGGCGCTCATCCTGCCTGGCGACATATGGCGAAGCCGGACGTTGAGGGCAACAGTGGCTCCGGCTTCCCGGCAGATACGGCAGCGCGCTCAAGAGGCCCGCCCCTGGCGCGAAGGACACCCGACCGAGGACATGCAGCGAGGTGGTCCCCGAATCGGTCGTGCAGTTGCCGGCAGCGGCAGCGAGCCGAAGTCAAGGGCAGGGGCAGGCGAAGCCGGCGCAGGAGCAACAAACGGAAGAGCGACGAGCTGAGGGACAGTTCAGGCAAGACCGGTCTAGTAGTGAAAACACTCGCGGCATGAGGGCCCGACTGTGAGTCCAACATAGCGAGGCTTGGGGCATCGAGCTCTCGGCGGATGGCACGGTGGCAGAACTCATCAACTGTGCGTGAACCACCCACGCGTAAAATCAGCGGGGTCGTCCTCAGGCGACACAGGGGGCACCGCCGAGAGCACGGCATCATACGTGGGGTTCTGGTAGCCTGCAGCCTGCAGTGACGCGGTGGCATTCTTCAAGGCGGCCAGGGCCTGAGGCAGCGGCCCAGGGCCATCCAAAGAACATATGAGGGCCTGAGCGAAGGCTCGATCGCGACGTGCGAGGGTGGGGAGCGCATCGGCCCAAGACGCCCAGTAAGCTGCGACGGCATGGCGCTCAGCGCTGCGAAGACCAAGTCCACCGTGGCGCAGCGCAAGTTGGGCACGTGCGGCAGCCAAAACAGGCAAGCCGGAAGCAGCATCGGCATGCAGCAAAACATCCAGGCTAGAGAGGACAGCGGCGTCGTGCTCAGCGGCGTACGCTCGCGTATCCTCTGGAGGCAAGGTGCGCAGCACGTACTGCACACGTGGAGCAGCACAGAAAGACAGCAACAGCCACGCGACCTGAGTGTCGGCAAGGAGCAACAAGCGGTCGAGAAGGACCCTCTGTTTGGCAAGCAAGGCCTCAAGGCCTCAAGGAATGCTGCAACGAACTCCGGTAAGGGGTACTCCAAGCGCAACAAAGCCACGCTGGGCGGAATCCAAGGCGAGATTGGCAACCCAAACGTCGCTATGCGCGAGCGAATCGACACCATGAGGGTGGACCCCTGCACTGTTCCAAACGCGGGTCTTACCAGGGTTGAGGCGGAGCTCGGCACGACGCATTGCATGCTCCTCGAAACGGCGGTACAGGTGGAGGGCGGTGAGGTGGAGCCAGGATGTATGCGTCATCTAGGAAGGCCACCGCTTGCTCGTCAGGCCGGAGGTCTGCGTGCAAGTCGCGGAGGGCAGGTGCAAACGCCAAGGCAGATAATGCCGGCATGAGTGGATCACCTTGTTCGCCGCCCTCAGCTTGGGTGATGCGGTGAGCTTGCGAGCAAGCCGCCCAAACATAATTACACAGACTAGCCCGCGCCCCAAGAGGGCTTGCGAAGGGCAACCAGTCGTCCCAGGGCTATTGCAGCGACGATCGGTGCGGGCACCTTTGCACGGCCAAGAGAACGAGGCGGAGCATTTCGGCCGTGAATCCACTGGGCCCTGGTGCGGAGGCTTTGCGCGCCGGCGGAGGTTGGTGAGCACGGCAGCGCGATCAAGCGCAACTGGTGCATGAGGCTGAAAATCCAACAAGTCTCTGGCAAGGGTCGGTAGGGCTGCGGGGGTCTGCGCGCGGGGTCGGTCAGCTCACGCAAGGTAGAGTCCGAGGGAGGGCCTAAGGGTTCGGCCATGAGGGCTTGCCTTGCTGCGGACAGCTCCCCTAAACGTGCAAGGTGGGCAGCAAGCTCAGCACGCTTAGCAACGTCATCACTGGGCAAACCACTTTGCAGGCCGACCGCGCCAGCCTCGTCGAGGGCGGCACGCAACAAGCTGCCCCAGTCGCCTTGGAAAAATGCTGCGAACCTGGCAAGCAGGTGATGTTTCGGCAATCAGGGTGATTGCGCTGGTCGGAACAGGAGCATGCGAGGCAGAAACAACCAGACTTTCCAAGCAAGGGCGAAAGCTGGGGACGCCAGCGTCTGGCTGGAGGGATTGGCACCCGAAGCATCGCGGACCAGGTGGAAAGCAACATGTGATGGCCCGGCGTAGCTGTGCTTTGCAAAAAGGCTCGCGGGCTGCGGAACACGTTACAAGGTTGCAGCAAGACATCCTCGGCAGAGAAAGGGTCGAGATTAGCCAAGGCTGCTTGCAGGCGTGGTCCCTGCAAGGTCGCGGAGCTCGGGCGTTCCTACCTTTATTGATCCAAATCGTGTCGGACCCTTGCTCTGCCCTGCATGACATCAAGGCCCAATCGCTCTTCCGATGCAAGACCAACCTATGTGCAGCACTCACGTCCGCGGTTGCGGCCAAGGGAATCTCCTGCATAGCACCTGATTGCCGGACTGAAAATGACATCTCGGCCGGACCTGGAACTGCTGGGTACCCCGGTGCAGAAACAGTCGACTCCCTCCGTTAAAATCTGCCAGTCTGGGTCCTCAAGCCTTTCAGCCGAAAGCGACAAGGCCCTGAGCAAGAAGGGCTGCGCAACTGGGATCTCGAGCACGTCGGGATTGTTCTCTGCACCAAGTACTTCTGCCCACTGCTTACGCAGAGCTTCCAACTTCTCCCCGGCGAATGGAGATGATTCGACCTTACCTGAAAGTAGGCTCAAGCAGAAGCGACGGGGATCAGGAACATGCTCCGAAATGAAGTTCGTAAGCATCCGGTACATGGATTGCGCATGTGCAGTAGCCGCTGGGCCCAGGCGATGCCCCCGGTCCATCGGCCTCCACCGCGCCGGGGAACACAACCCAAACCCGTCTGTCATGTCAGCCTCTTGTCCTTCCCACTCAACACGAATGGGGTTGCCGCGGTTCCCACATGCCTCTGGTCTGAATGGCACTGGTGGTGCTGTGTCTCCTGTGCTTAGGCCCTCGGCAGTATCCAGAACCTCTGAAGTCTCACCATTTGATGCATCCAAGTCAAGTGGTATCTTAAACCCCAGGGCCTTAAGGTGGGCGAGGTCGGCGGCCTCGACATTGCCAAGCTTATCGGTCATGTATGCAACCATCACCACCCGACGGCCCTTCCACGATCGCGTAGCATGGTATGACCGCCAGGCATCGAAGCTTACAGGGCCCTTGCAAACCTCCAAGTGGACGCCAGGTCTCCGCCCTTCTGGTGTTGTCTCCCATACATCGCCTCCTTGCTGTTCCAACCAGATTTGGCCATCTTCAAAATCCGACAACGGCACTACCATGTTCGGATAGTGCGCATTCCGGGCATCACGGTGGACCCCCGTCCGGACATCATCGAAGATCGCAATAGCTGATGCTTGAAAGCCCGGTGCGACCTGCTGCAAGTACCTTGTTAGAACCTGTGTAGACTTCGGCAGCACAGTGGAATGATGCCTCAAACCGACTAAGCCACCCTTGCAATATGCACCCGTTGCGAAAGAACTGCCCGGTGAAGCTGAAGTCGACTCCCTAGGCGGCTCCTCGCGGGGCAGCATGTCAAATAGCTCTAACACACGACGACGTTCTAGCAGCCCTGGTGTTGCCAGGAGCTTTGATGCTGCACTCTCGGGATCGCCCAAGGACTTCAAAGGATGTGCGGGAGGACTACAACC